AAAAATAATAAATGTATTTATTTTGTTTGAAGGATACAAGATCATTGTACAAAAATCAGTCTGTCTTCTAGCAACAATCAGAAATTGAAATTTAAAGAAACTGCCATTTATATTAGAATTAACAGGTATGAAATATTTAGGGAGAAATTTGTCAAATATGTGCAATACCTGTACACTAAAAACTACAAAACATTGCTAAGAAAGGAGCCTTAAATAAATAGAGTGATATACTGTGTTCATGGATCAGAAGACTCAATACTACTAAGATGTCCATTTTCCTCAAATTGATCTGTAACTTAAGTGCAATTCCAATTTAAACCTAGCAGGATGTTTGAACTGACAAGCTTATTCTAAAATTCAAATGGAAATACAAAGATTTAGAATAGCCAAAATGACTATGCAAAGAAGAGCAAGACTGGAGAATTAACTCTACTGATTTCAAGACTTCTTATAAAGCTACAGTAATCAAGACAGTGTGATATTGGTGTAAAGATTAAACATAAATAAATGGAACAGAATAGAAAGTCTAGTCATAGGTCTATCTCTATATCAACAGCTGACTTTCAGCAAAGTACAAAGGCAATTCAGTGGAGAAACAGTAGTCTCTTTACAAATGGTACTGTAACAACTGGATATCCATATGCAAAGAAAGAAACTTGGAGCCATACCTCACATCTTAACAAAAATTAACTAGAAATGGACCTAATGAAAAATCTTAAAAACTTCTAGAAGAAAACATGAGAGAACCCTCGTGACCTTGGTTTAGGCAAGGATTAGATAAAACATCACCAGCACAATTTAAAAAAGAAATTGATAAAATAGACTTAATCAGAATTTAAAACACTTGCCCTCCAAAAGACCCTGTCAAGAGAATAAAAAGACCACTACGGTCTGGGAGAAGATATTTAGAAGTCACATATCTGATAAAGGACTTGAATCTAGAACTTATAGGATACTCTCAAAGCTCAGTAAGAAAATAGACAACCATAATAGGGTATTACTCTACATCTATTAGAATGGCTAACATTGAAAGGATTGGCCATACCTAGTATTTGCAAAAATGTGGAGGAACTGGGACTTCATACAATGCTGGAAGGGAAGTAAAATGGTACAATCACTTTGGAAAACACCTTGTCAGTTACTTAAAAAGTTAAACATTGTTAAAAAGGAGACAGCGGGCCCAAAATGATGTGCTAAACCCCATGTCAGCAAACCAAGACTTTAATACCCAAACTATTTGCAGTTTCAACCCCCCAGGAATGTAACCTTTAACCAGTCAACCTGGAAGGAATCACCTGGTCAGCACAGACTACCTCAGTAGTAATCTACCTGACAGGTCCCTTCTGTTTCCCTTAGGAGGGTAACCTTCCTGAAACGATGCATTCTTTGCTAATAATTTCCTTTTCCTGTCTCTTTCCTGCCTTTAAAAAAACCTTTCCTTTTCTACAGCTCAGTGGAGCTCCTTTCTATTTGCTAGATGAGATGCTGTCCAATTCATGAATTATTTAATAAGGCCAATTTGATCTTTAATCACTTTTGTTGGATTTTTTGTTACTTAACGTGTATCTACCATTGGAACCAGCCATTTTACTCCTAGGTATTTACCTAAGAGAAATGAAAGCATATATCCATATAAAGACTTGTGCACGAATGTTCATAGCAGCTTTGTTTGTAATAGGTAATAACTGAAATCAACCCAACTGTCCATAGACAGGTGAATGAATTAAACTGTGGTATGTGCATACAATGGGATACTACTTAGAAATAAAATAAAATGAAATATTGGTACATGCAACAACATGGGAGAATTGCAAAATAATTACACCGACTGAAAGAAACCAAAAAAAAAAAAAGTGCACACTATATAATTCCACTTATAAAATTCTGGAGAACACTAACTTTTCTGCAGTGACAGAAAGCAGCTAAGTGATATGGGAGATGGTGAGAATACACCACCCTCTTTGGCATAAGGAATATTTTGAGCTGATTATTTTGAGAAATAATCACAGCAGACTCAGGAGAAGCTTTGAAAAGAGAAGCCACCCTTTTGTAAGGGACATTTACATCTATAATAGAAATCTCCATTTATAAGGGCATCTCCCTCTCTGTACCAGGAAGAGGATGGCTCAAAATCACAAGAAACCCCTATTAATGAAGAAGGCACTGACTTATATCTGCAAAACAAACTCACCCTTGTTTACCTTGCTTTTCCTGGTCACCTCCCCAAACTGCTCCCCTCTCCGGCCCCCAAAACACTTCTCTTTTGTCTTTAGTCGAAGATGGTATTTAAGGTGGTGGCTTCAATCACCTCGGAAAGTTAGTAATTTTTTTCTGGATCCCTCTCTGGCATACATGAGGTGTACATGTTAACTTTCTGTTTCTTTTTCTCTTAATCTTTTATTACAGGGGGTCTCAGCCAAGAACTCAGAATGGTAAGAATGGTAGATGGAAAATAATTTTTCCTCCCCGACAATGGGGACATGGAAAGAGATTTCAAAGAGCGTGAGGAAATTTGGGGGAATAGGTTCAGGATCTTGATTGGGATGATGCTTCACAGGTAGATGGATGTGTCAGTTTCTCAAATTGTACATTTTAAGATGCACAGTTCATTGCATGTCAATAAAAAGCTCTTTAAAAAATGTAAGTAATACACTAGGCACTGTGCTTCTCAGACAGCACACTCCCCTTAGCCAGTCTTAGCTAAGCTCATAATTAACCACCCACACCCTGATGACTCTCAAACATGCCTCTCCAGCCCTGGCCATTCTGCTGAGATGTAGACCTGTTAATCCAGTTGCTTTGTCAGCATCTCCCTTTACCTGTTCCACAGGCACCCTAAATCCGCAAGCCCAAGGCAGAATTCTTCATTCCCCCTCCAACCCGATTTGCCCCTGGTATATCCCAGCACAATGAATGGCAACACCACCTACCCGGCTGCCAAAATGACCCAATCTTAATTTTGATTTCTTCTCCCTTATCTTCAACATCCTGAATGTGTCCTGGATTTATCCACTCCTCATCGACCTCACCACCTCACTGACATGACATGAATCCAAACCACCCATCACTTCCCTGGCAACAGCCTCCTAGTCAGACTCCTCGCTGCCAAACCCACTCTTGTAGTTCACACGCACACAGCAGCCAGAGCTTTTTAAATACAGACACGATCTTTTCGTTCTCCAGATTAAAAATCTTGCAGTCGTTTCTCATGCCCTTAGGATGAAGTTCAAACTCTTAAATGTGAGTTACACACACCAGGTGGTCCCTATTCTCCTCCGAGTCCCTCTGTGACTGTCATCTCTTGCCACTTCCCTTGCCTCTTGCCACTCTCTGTCTGTGGCAGTCTGAAATTACTCGTCATCTCCTGTTCTGTATTCAGTGAGTGGCTTCACAGCAAGAATGGAGAACAGGGGTAGCAAGGGAGAAAAAAAGCCAGCAAAAGTAATTTTTATCAAGTTCCTATTTCCGGCAGCTGTTCCCCTCTAGGGGAAGTAGGAAAGTGGAAAACACAGAGAGACGACTTTGGTGGAACAGTTTCTAAAGGAGAATATATTTTGTGTTTTTCACCCAGCCATCAGTCCCTCTGGATTTTAATATTACAGTGGGGTCATAACAAGCATTTCCGCTATTGTTGGCTTTACACAGAAGCGAAGCAGTGCTCAGGAAGCTGGGAGATGGATGAATTGTTGGTTTGATGTGTTTGAACCATTCACCACTGAGTTAAATGTGCATATTCTGTTCAAAATAGACAATGGGAAGGGGCGGTCCCCGTTTCCCTCTATAACTTGCATAACATCAGGCCTCACTGCTTTAAACTAATGAGTATTTAGAAGTAAAGGCTCCTACTGATTCTAGCCAGTCATTAATTCTCTCCTTGCAGAGCCACTGTGGAGTTTTTCATCAGCCACATTTTTCAGCCGTTTCCAGGTGCTTCTGAGCAGCAGCGCTGACCCTTGGCTTCCCGTGCCACCCACCAGACACATAATGGGCTCGAAAGTCCCCTTGGAAGGAATTTTACGGGGGTACCAGGAACAAATGCAAAGATGTACATTCTTGTCTTCAAACTCTTGGTCTGGGGAACTTATTGAACTTGAATGAAAATGTTTATTTAAACCCATATATAACCTGGTAAGAAGGTGACGGGGGAGGGGGGTGAATTACAATGTCTCTGAAACTAACTGCACCGTCAGCGCTACTTTGTAACAATGATGCTTGCTCCATTATCACTCCGGGTTTATGTGCTCAATAGCTTCAGTGATCTTGCCTCAGTAGGTTTTCTGTTTTTACCCATCACATTCTCTGGGGAACTGAAAAGCACAGTGTTTCTGAAGATGTTCAAACTTGAAGAGACTCATTTTGGAAAAAGGTCTTAACCTGCTTTTAACTCGAAGCCATTCAGACTTTTGCCCAAACAAGTATCACTTGAGTGTATGTCTAATATCATTTTGGAAGCTGTTTGTCTGAAAGACCATTTACAGACCAATTCTGAAGGCTATTCAGAATTCAGGAATCTATATTCTTAGCTAAAAAGAATCTACATATAATTGGGAACGTGACTATTCATTATTCAGTGGACTCTGCATTATTAAGCATCATAAATATTTTGTGGGAAACCCTAGTATTTCATTAAGCTAGTAGAGAAGACTCGAACTGCCAAACTTCCAGCGAAATTATCACGTATGGAACAAGTGGAAAAGGCTGTGAAGCAATCTTCAAATTAAGATAATCCAAATTGGAAAGGCAAGACTGTTTTTTTTTTTAAATTTGGAGAGGTTTCATTTTGTTCGTCGATAATTCCCTGCTATTTGAAAGGAGGAAGGGCACTTTAAATATCCTAAACTGATGACTGAGCTATCCATAAAGCCTGGAAGCAATACAACCCCCCCTCTCCCCCAAAAAACAAACTTCAAACAAAGACCAAGAATGGTGTGTTTGACGTTAATTGGATCAGGGGCAATAAATAGACTAAAGCAGGCAAAATGTTTAAACGATAATAATACTTAAGTTACAGCACTCTTTATCTTCTCTCTATTATAAGAATTCAACTATTTTAGTAAGCATTAAAGTCAACCGATAGACCTATACATGTTGCTTTTCAAACGGTTAAGTCCAAACAGTTCAGTTGGGTTTAAAGTGGGGGGAAAAGGCAAAAACAAAACAAGAAACTCCCCAAAACCCCACACTGGAAATTAGCCATCTGCTGACATCCCCACTTTCCAACAATGACTCAGCAAACCATTTAATGTGAACTTCAACAGCTTTTCATCAGGTTCTTATGAAAAGACATGATTTGATTGGGGCTTTCAAATGACTTTATCAATCATTCCCAGGGTTCCAGGAATATTAAAAAAACAATTAGTTCTTAGTACAAAAGGATTGCCTATATTAACCTTCAACTCACCCTGACATCCACCGGCAGCACCTGCTTTTCCATCAAAATGAGAAATATTAGCAGCTAAAAATACAAGTATATACAAAGGTTATGAAAGTTCTTTAAAAATTATTATCCAGGAACAATGGTAAGAGTAGGGATTTCTTTTTTTCAGAGGAAAGAGAAGAGGCAGCTAGCAACTTAAGTGTACGCAAAGATGGTGAAGCTTAGAAGTTACTACTCTGGAATAATGGTTAATAGTTGGGATTTCTCTTCTTCAGAGGGTAGAGGAGAGACAGAAATTACAGCCATCTTCTCCACATCCCCCAAAGATTTGAGTCACAGGGTTTATTTGTGCTGAAAACCAGAGTTATCTACTGCTTGAAACCTAAGCAGACTGCATCAGCATTTCAGGACCACCTGGGACCAAGGAGGTGGGGGCCGGGAGATTTCCAGATGGATTGTAAGACAATTCATTGATATTTACATAACGGGAATAAATGTTTTTCCTAAGATAGCATTTCCCTTCAGTGCCTTGAGACCACCAGCAAGAGGGAGGTGCAGAAATTCTATTAAATTAATAGTCTTTGTTTTTATGGCTTTGCCATTTATTAACTAGTGGGAGCTGTTTATTGGGTCATAAACTTTACTAATGGGTATATTATCTCTGAATTATAAATCTCCTTCAGTATATGGCTTAGTTATAAAAAGAATAATTATTTAAAGTATCTGTATGGCTGCAGTGCATCATGTTTATTGGCATGATTTCTATAATGACCATTTACTTGCTAACTGTGGGCTCGGACTGTGGATAAGCAGGGTGGTGACACGTCCATGCAACCCAACAAGCAGTTGTCATCCTACAAACTCAGGAGCAGATCACTGGCTTGCTTCCTTCCTTTTTCCCCCTCCTGCTTCTCAAATGAACTATATTACAAGGCTGTTCAAGGGCTAAATTATCTACAGATTTAAAATCTTGAGGGAAAGACAACTGACTGAAGAAACGGAATAGGTAAGTGACAAATGTGTCAGCCTGAAAAGTTCCAGGAAAGTGTCATCCTTCTAAAAGCTTGCCTCTCTGGGGAGTGGAAAATCTTAAAGTGACAAAATGGCTTGGCACTGTCAGTTGTCTTAAAAAAAAAAAGAAAAAGAAAAAGCCTGGGACAAAAATCAAGAAGTCAAAATTAGATTTTATGGGTAAATGGTTCTAGGATATAAATTGAGTGTTCTAGTTTACTGGAAAATCCTATGGGGTCTATTTTAACGATGGCACATATAGAATTATCCTAGGTTTGTATCTAGAAATAGTTTATTGGTTAACTTCCATTCTTTAAAAAAATGAAAGAGCCATTGTTGTCGAGCAAATTGGTACATCTGAGTGCCAAGAGACCAGCTCATTTCTAGGCCAAATCCTGTAAATGTGGAGAGGAAGAATAATGAGATGGAAGGGACCCTTGAGATGTCATCAGTTCCTCTTCCTCCCTTCAGAGCAGTCATGAAAGTCAACACCCAAGTCCCTTCTCCACACGGTTTCATTGTCTCTGAGAACACCAGCCAACTGGATTTGTGATACCCAGCACACAACACTGAAGGATGGGGTGGACTGACAACCTTCTCACGATGAATTCCCAGAGGTCCATGGTTAGGAGGTGTAATCAGATATACACTATGTGACAAAAGTTCTGCTGTGACTCATAATGTAGAGTCCTAAAAGAAAGAGAAAAATAGAGAAATGCAAAAGGGAAATGCGCTGGAGTCTTAGAATATGAAAACCCCTGGGGTGGGCGGTTATTTGTGTGTGGAGAATGAACCAAGAGCTCTCTCAAAATCTTCAGCATTCACATCCTTAAATATTTCAGACATCATACATTTTTGGTCATACTGTAATTATATACACATGGACATATTCCTATGTTAACAAGCTAACTTTATATTTTTAATGCCCTTTGACTATCTAAACATTGCATATGTTTCAATCTCTCCCTAATTTTGTGTGTGTGTTGTAGGGGGAGTTCTTCCCATAACTTTGCTCATTTCAGAAAACAAATACCTTCACTCGACAGAAGTTTAAGGATTATTTTGAAAAGGTGGGTTGCTACGAAGTTTAATTATATAAGTAATAAACACATGTCAAAAAGATTTCAAACAATGTTTAATAAGATAACTTTTTGTGCTGATATAATTTGATTTTATATTGTCATATATAGCTGTCAAAAGTCAGTTTCTTTTTGTGTTGTAATGAATCATGTTGGCTAGAAAGTTACAGTAAGATTCTTGGTATTAATAAATCATATAATAAAAATGTTCCTTTCTTTAAATGGCATTTTTAATAGTGCTGATACATCAGCAATATCGTATGATGTTCTGAAAAACTAACATGACAAATGGAGATTAATTGCAGTCTATGGGATTTTAATTCAATATGAACTTTGTTTCTTTTTGTTTTTAATGGAATTATAGCTACTGAAACAGACTTGGCAAAAGTAGAGCAGGAAATCAAAGGGAGGTAACCAAAGCTGCATGGTTACTCCTCCTCTAAGCCAAACACATCCTTTAAAAGCTTTAAATAGTTAATGCATTTCGCAGGAATAGGTGATGGCATCCCGAGCCACTCCTCTTCACATCTCTGGGAAAGAAAACAAAGATGGACATAATTAGAACGACGTGGCAAAGTGCAGTCCCGTAAACGCAACATCAGATTGTTCCTTGTCATCACGTGAGCTCTTGGTAAGTAGTTTATTTTCAAAGCAGACGTTTCGACCATCCACTTTCAGATCATAAGGACTCTGTGGGAGACTGGATTCCTGTGCGCAGTCCTTTGCCCTCCTCCCTGTGTTAGAATAATACTCTGTTCTCTTTGCCATGTGACTTTGCAGGACCTCCTATGGAGTCGATTTTCCTACCCCTTTGACTCGGCGTTTGCCCCATGGCTGGCTTCGTCCTATGTAATGTTAGCAGATACACGACAAGCAGAGTCCCTGATGTGCGGGCATGATTTGGCTTGGCCGTCGCCATGCGATGAACATGGCCCGAGGTGCTACTTGGTCCCAGAATGACACAGGTAGAGCAAGGCCAGCAGATCTACAGGCCCGTGGACAAGAAAAATAAACGTGTGTTGTTGTGAACCACTGATGACTGGGGGCGGTTACGCAGCATTACTGCAGTGATAGCTCCCCCTTCACTTTATGAAGAACCTAGTTTTTAAAACTCAAACTGCTAGCTGTACTGGCTGCTGGGTTACTGTTGCATCAATCTACCAATGAGATGAGCACTGAATCACTCATGGCATCTTCTTGGGTAGGGGGAAGCTACTTTACACATATACACATATGTATAAAAATATGTACACACATGCTTTATATATACACACTGTATATGAAACAACTGTGTATATATTTGCTAATTTTAGGAAATAAATACCTTCACTAAAGAGGCTTAAGAATTATTTTGATAAGGTGGATTGCAACAAAATTTAATTAGAGGTAATAAACATGTCAGATTTCAAAACTCTTGTATACACAGATGCACAATATGCATACGCACACGTTTTATTTATGCTGTAATGGTGAATTAATATCAGTGGCAGAGGAGAGGGGGCTGAGTCCATAACTATGGCTGCTTATAGTGCTATTGTCAAGGTTAATTGTTGTATATAAGAGGTGTTGTTTTTTCCCTAGTGTTACATTAGTATCCAGAGTCACAAGGAGTCATGGCAACACAGGTAAGGGCTCAATACTTCTAGGTGATGGGACTGTGAAGCAAGCTGAGTGAGTAATGTTTCACCGGGGCCTTACAGGATGAGGAGCACTTCAGTAGGGGACTGAAGGGATGAAGGGTGTTCCAGGCATGGAGAACAGCGTAAGGCAAGGCCCGGAGACCTAACAATCTATTTTCAAGAAAGGGTGAGCAGCTCAGTGGATCGGGGGTACACAGTGGTGAGAGAGGCAGTGGGAAGGAAAAGATGGGGCCAACCTTGGGCTTTCTGTGCTAGGTGATACTCTGTGCTGTGGCCAGGGAAAGTCACTGGGGGGTCCCAGCCAGAGAAATCTGATGAGGTATTAATTAGCACTGTAGTTACGAAAAGTCTTTGAAATGAATATTCTACTTATAGAAATATATCATTTAGAAATAATTAAGCATATGTACAATCATTTCACTTCAAGGATGTTTGTTAATATTGTCTCTAATAGTGAAAATTTAAGACAACCAAAATGTCCAACAATAAATATTAGGTTAGACAATTTCACTTTATGCAATGATATGATATTTTACCCATTTAAAAAACATTATGGGACTAACTATTGAAATGAAAGTGCTTATAATACAGAGTTGGGGAATAAAACAAGTTTTAAATGAAAAAAAAAAAGAAATAGGTAATTCAGTGGATGCATGAAGAATGAGATGAAGGAGGAACACCACTTTGGAAGTTACTGCAGTAATCCTGGGGAGAGGTGGTGACTGTCTAACCAGGGCAGCTAGGCTGGGGTGAGCAAGAGTGACATCTGAAAGATTTGGCTCCCACAGAACATACAATGCCCAGAAGGTGACTGATGTGAAGCAGTGATAAAAGAAAAGGGGATACATTATGGGTTGAACTGTGTCCCCTCCAAAAAGATATGCTGAAGTTCTACGCCCTGGATCTCAATGTGACCTTATTTGGAAACAGGGTCATCGCAGAGGTAATTAGCCAAGATGCGGTTGTACTGGAGTAGGGCAGACCCCCTAATTCAATGTGACTGGCGTCCTTATGAACAAATACAGCTAAGGATGGGTCTAAGACTTCTAAATTTAGATAACAGTTGATGATGCCTGTATTAATTTCCTAGGGCTGCCACAACAAATTACCACAAACTGAGAGGCTTAAAGCAACAGAAATGTATTCTGTCACTGTGCAGGAAACCAGATGTTGGCAGGTGTTGGCAGGGCTGGTTCTTTCTGGAGGCTCTAAGGGTGACTGTCCCATGCTTCTCTCCTAGCTTCTGGTGCTTGTTGGCTATCCTTTGAGTTCCTTGGCTTGTAGGTACATCACTACCCTCCGCCTCTATCTCGCTCTTTCACATGGCCTTCTCATCAGGACACCAATTACTGGATTTACGGCCCACCCTAATCCAGTTGTGACCTCATTTTAACTTTTAGTAGCTGTTTTCATTATATCTGCAAAGACTATTTCCAGATAAGTTCACATTCTGAGGTTCCCAGTAGACATGAATTTTGAGGGGACAATATTCAACCCAGGGCAATGTTATAAGCAAGATAAGGAAAGCAGGAAGAAGTAGAGTGTTAAACATTTTTCAGTGGAAAAATAAGGATGAGAGGGAGAAATGAAGTTCAATTTTGGACATTTTTATTTGAGGTACTCATAGGACATCAAGGTGCAGATTCTGGTAAACACCTGGAAAATGGGGTTCTGCAGAGCAGAGCTAGAGTCCAGAACTGTGCAAAGATGCGGAAGTCACTGAAACATGGGTGACATGTAATACCATGGTAACTAATAACACTGATGCCGAATCAGAATAGCACCAAGTACTGGCATCTCTAGCTAAGGCATAAAGCCTTAATTTAAGGTATGATTGATGATGATGAACTAATTGCGTGCAGACTGTTTTAGGATTATAGGAATCTTATAATCATCTAGTAGTGATGATAACGATGAGCAAATGTATTGGAATATTCACTGTATGACAAGTACTCTTTTCAGTGTTTTACAGGTATTAAGCTATTTAATTACTGGAATTAAAAAAACTGATCAACAGAAACTTCAATTAAACAGTCAGGAGACCAGAAGGGGACGCTCTCATGCCCTGCGGTGACAGCAGAGCTCAATGGTTCTTGAAGAAGTAAGGTTCCTTTCCTGGCAAGGACTCAGCCAATGAAACGCCATGGCCTCATTGCTGACTACAGCCTTCCCCACTGCCTTTTCCTCTCTGTAAAAGTGTTCTCCCCTCGCCCTGCAGGAACTTGCACGTGGCTCACCACGGTGGCAGACCCCGGAATGCCAATTCTCTGCTGATCCCAAATAAACCCATCTTCCTGGAGAAATACCTGGCAGTCTACTTGTTTTTAGGTCAGCAGGAGAAAACCCTAAGAGGTAGGTATTGTTATGATACCCACCATCTACAGAAAAGGAAACTGAGGCAGGAGAAGGGTTCAGTAGCTTGTCTAAAGTCTAATTGCCAATAAGGGGAGAAGCTTGGACTGTCACCCCAATATTAGGGCTCCAGAGCTCTGCTTATCTGCTGGGCTACCCTCCACTCCCAGGAAACACGTGGACCTATTCAGAAGCAGCTAGCTCTCATCCTACGAGGCTACATTTGGTCCCATCATATTCAACAGGAAAAGTTAAGTAGAAAAAAAATGTGATTCTCGAGGTGACGCTACACTTCTCTCTCAAGAATGCTTCCTGTTGGATGTCAGAGGTTAAGCCCAAACCGCCAATAATGAGCTGTGTAGAGAAGGAAATGACCGTGCAGATGGATGATGGCTAAACCAACTCCTAGGGCGCGTCCTGTGCAATTCATACTACGTGGAACTTAGTGAAATGTCCTTCCTATCCCCCAAAAAGGTAAATCATTGTGTGTCTGTGTGTGCGCATATACAAAATGTAAATTTTGTGTGTGTGTATATACATACGTACATGTACACACATATATATTTCTTTTTAATCAGTGAAGGCTGAGATCAGTAGTCATTCAATTCAACTATTCAACATGTCTTGAAAGATTTCACAACAAAACTTAAAGCAATTTTCACTCTTGTGAGTGGTTCAGTAGTCCCTCGGCATCTATGGGGGCCTGGTTCTAGGACCCTTTGCAAATACCAAAATCTGAGGATACTCAAGTCCCTTATATAAAATGGTGTATAGTATTTGCACATAACCTATGCACATCCTCCTGTATACTTTAAATCATCCCTAGATTACTTATTATGCCTAATACAATGTAAATACTATGTAAATAGTTGTAAATAACGGTGTAAATGCTATGTAGTAGTTGGTGTGCTACGAATTCACGTTTGGCTTTTTGGAACTTTCTGGAATTTTTTTTCACCAAATACTTTTGATCCATGGTTGGTTGAATCTGTGAATGCAGAACCCATGGATACAGAGGACTGACTGTATTTTTAAATTTTATCATGTTATAGAAAAATACAGTGCAACTATATGCATTCAGAATCACTATTCTGATAGGGTTTTTTTTAACCAAAGTTTTTAGTACAAAAATAATAAAGTACATTATGCAACTCATAACATTACAGTGCAATTATCTGGGGAATGGATTCTCTTATGAAACAGGTCAGTACTAGAAGATCCTTCCTCACACCTTATTAGGCAGCAAAAGTTGCTTTTTGAGCAAGGAATCATGATTTAAATCCTAACAACAAAAGAGAAAGAAATAGAAGAACTTACACTGGAATAATGATAACTCAAGAATTTGGAGATGAGAATTAAATTTATTGGCAACAAGCCAGGCTTGGGCACAATGAAACTCAAGTTAATTATTCTGAGATTTTAAAATAAGGATAATTTAAGATGAAAAACTAATATAGGGGAGCAAAATTTGCCATCCCAACATGTGTCTCTTTGGCATGAGAAGTTGATTATTTTTAAGAAACAAAAGACTCAGGAAG